ATAGTGTTTTGAAACAGACCTGTGCACATATGAACACTTGATTTAATAAAGATGGCATTGCAGAGAAGTGAAGAAAGGACAGTATGTTCATTAAATGTACTGGAATAATTGCATATCCATGTACCAAGAATGTAACTAGACCCTATCTCACATGAAATCTAAAAATCAATTCCAGAGGGATTACTAACACAGGAGACATCTTAATGACCTCAGGATAAGGAAAGATTTCTTAATATACAAAGAGCACATAAAAAGATATGTAAATATGCTACATCAGTATGAAGAAAGTCTGCAGTTTTTAAAAAATATATTTGAGTAGGCTTGTCATAAGAGACTATACAAATGGCCAGTGAACCACTGTAATAAGAGTCAAAAATTTGAAACAACCCATGTTCACCAATGGCATTAAGGATTATAAAACATAGAGTCCTGTGCAACAGAGAAAACAAATTAACAGCTCTCATACAATTTGATGGATAAGTCTTGAAAACACTGCTGAGCAGAAACCACGTGCAATAGAATATATACTATGTGACTCCACTTACATGAATCAAGAACAGGCAAAACTGAACTATTGTTCAAAGGCACATGGAGGTAGACTATTTAGAAAGCAGGAAAGTGATTACCATGAAAGTTAGCTATGTGGGTGGGGCCTGGGGCTGTCATGACAAAGGTCTAAACCAGGCACCTCTCTGGAGCTGGGAGGGTCTCTTGCTGATCCAAGTAGCGGTAACCCAGGTGTTTGTTCACTTTGCAAATTGTTACACTATTTTATGCACACTATTATATTTCAGAGTTAAAAAAAAAATTTAAATACAGACAATATAAATAAAAATACTAAATATAAAACTAGGCTAAATTTTGTCTGCCTTACAAATTCAGAAGAAACTAATGATCCTTTAAATATAATTAAGCTATTTTCCAGTCATTTAAAATACTTTCACCAGTTTGATAGGTGAAATAAGGTATCTAATTGCTTTTATTTTTAATTTTCTAGGCAGATTGTGTAAAATGTTTGATCATGCTTACTTATTCTTTTATTGCTTATTCACATCTTTTGCCCAGTTTTCCAATGGAGCTGTTTTTGTTAATTGTAAGCATAAATAAGGATATTAACTCCTTCACATTTGCAAGTATTTTTTCCAGGTCATCAAATTTTTTAAACAGAAATTTTGATTTTAAATTAATCAAAGAAATCTCACCCCAATATCAAATACATTCTTGTGTCATCTTTGTTTTTATGGTTTTTTTTTTTTTACATTCTATTTTCTCAATAAATAATCATTCTTTTCCCTACTAATTTGGAAGCCCTGTTTACCATAGACTAATTACTTCTGTAAATTTTAATTCAGGCCTTTCTCTCTTCTGCTTTCTACAATATTTTATTTAAATTTAACATTATTCCTGGGAGCTTGTGTGAAAGTATAGTTTTAATATTATATTAATTTTCATGGTTTCAGTTTAAAAATAAAAATGGTGTTTTGTATAATCAAGAGTAAAAATAGTATGCATGTGTTTCAGTGCTGTTTCCTTCTCCTAGAACTTGAGAAAGAATACATTTTATTTCATAGTGTATCTGTGCTTTAGGTATAGTTATTTTTAGGTATGGATTTGCTTGAGACCACTTAATAATAGCAGTAATTCTGTTCCTTTTTATTGTTAGACAATATAGTGTTGGATTTGAGATCGTAACAGTTTCTATGGTGGGAGATCCTGGTCCCCATGGCTTTCAGAGAAAATCAAGTGGTGACTACAGGTAATGTTGGCTTTTGATTGTATCTAATTTATACTTTCTGTGGCATCATCTGTAAACCTTCTTCTCATTTTCTCTTAATATAGATGTGGATTTTGCTACCTGGAACTAGAAAATACACCTGCTGGGATCTATAATATCATTCCCAGTACTTTTTTGCCTAAACAAGAAGGACCTTTTTTCTTGGACTTTAATAGTATTGTCCCTGTTAAGACAACACAACTTCAGTGATGAAGAATCTCTCAGCAATTACTCAGTTCTTTAAATGAGGATACAAACCTCTAGAACACACAACAATCAGAACAGAATTAAATCTATAAACTTTACATCTGGTGCTCAAGACATGGTGTTTAGTGGGTATTGTATATAGTCAGTTACTCAAAATCATTTAGATTTATGTTTTGTGTGTACATGGAGTTGGCTTGTGGCGAAAGGGCCATATTGTGTAAAAAAGTGCAGATGATTAAGGATTAGACTCAGCACTGTGAGAGGCCTTTGGTAAAGAGACTTCAGGCCAGACGGGGGCCACAGACTGAGGGGATGGGTAGGCTGACATACATTCTGAAGTAGTTACACAATGTTTGTCTTTTTGGCAGAGCATGTTGTAAATTAAATTTGCTTGTGTTGTGACTCTACATTGTGGGCAACTAATCACCAAGTGAATCATGTCACTGTAACATTTAATTTTGCATTATTGTGACTTTAAATGTTCATTGTTGCCCAGATGTTATAAATCTTTAAGAAATAATGAACTTAGCATGAAGATGCTCATGCTTAACAATGAAGGCCATTGAAGTTAGATACCTGTCTCCCACTGACTCATGTAAAGAGAATTACAATATTCATTATCGTAATTCTTACTTTTTATCAGGTTGGTGAAAATAGTAATCAGAGATGAAGACATTACAGCTTAGTTTGTATAGTCTTTTAAAAATTGCTGTGTATAGTTCAGTGCTTTTATGGTAACAACATAAAGAAAATCACAGTTGAGAATTCAATATATGGTAATTAGGTTGCTTTTAGAAAAACTACTGCCATGTGTAAATTCTCAGTTGTTTATATAAAACTACATCAGAGCAAAATGATGCTCAGAATTTTCAACTGAAAATAAGGTAGAATTTTTCATTATTTCTACTTTATAATTATCAAATATTAATTTTGTATTTCTATCTCAATTGAAATAAAGTGTTTATACTTTGGAAACTGCATAGTTTAACCTAAAGAAATTATTAAATTTGCATGAAACCATGCTTCAACAGAAAAATCATTTTCTGCATTCAGGATAGTGGCAGATTGTTACACTAATGAGATTTTACTTTGGTAAATATCAAGCATATTAATTCTAGGTGAATTTTAATTCTCTGTGGTCCTTTAAAGAAAAAGAATCTAAAGCATAAGAGCTGTATTTTAAACAGATGATTTGAACCTCTTACATTAAAGACTCTTGTACAGAATGCAAACCAAAATAAGACCGACTCCCTGCCCTCCAAAGAAGTGCAATGGAGACCTATATATGAACAGTTTAATAATTGTAATGTTGAATTATGTAACACAGCTCCAAAAACACTGCTCCAAATGTATAAGTAACAGAAAGGTTAAGAAAGATGAGTTTGGCTGGACCAGTATATACTGAAAACGGTCTGATTCTCAGCTGCATGCACATTAGAATCATATGGGGAGCTTTTTAAAGTCCAGTGCCCAAGTGTACCCTGCAGGAGGTGAGTGAGTCACTGGGGCTGAGAGCAGCATTTAAGCTTCCTAAGAGCTTCCCAGGCACAGCAGAGGTCGGGAATCACTCCTCCAACTTAACCGTCTTAAGAAAACCTAGAAGAAATGGACAACTTCCTAGAAGAGTACAACCTCTAAGACTGACCCAGAAAGAAACAGAAAATCTATAAACAGACCAATTACCAGCAATGAAATTGAAGCGGTAATTAAAAAACTACCCAAGAACAAAACCCCCAGGCCAGATGGATTTACCTCGGAATTTTATCAGACATACAGAGAAGACATAATACCCATTCTCCTTAAAGTTTTCCAAAAAATAGAAGAGGGAATACTCCCAAACTCATCCTATGAAGCTAACATCACCTTAATACCAAAACCAGGCAAAGACCCCACGAAAAAAGAAAATTACAGACCAATATCCCTGATGAACATAGATGAAAAAATACTCAACAAAATTTTAGCAAACCGAATTCAAAAATACATCAAAAGGATCATACACCACGACCAAGTGGAATTCATCTCAGGGATGCAAGGATGTTACAACATTCGAAAAGCCATCAACATCATCCACCACATCAACAAAAAGGACAAAAACCACATGATCATCTCCATAGATGCTGAAAAAGCATTCGACAAAATTCCACATCCATTCATGATAAAAACTCTCAACAAAATGGGCACAGAGGGCAAGTACCTCAACATAATAAAGGCCATATATGATAAACCCACAGCCAACACCATACTGAACAGCGAGAAGCTGAAAGCTTTTCCTCTGAGATTGGAACAAGACAGGGATGCCCACTCTCCCCACTGTTACTCAACATAGTACTGGAGGTCCTAGCCACAGCAATCAGACAAAACAAAGAAATACAAGGAATCCAGGTTGGTAAAGAAGTCAGACATTTGCAGATGACATGATATTGTACATAAAAAACCCTAAAGATTCCACTCCAAAACTACTAGAACTAATATTGGAATTCAGCAAAGTTGCAGGATACAAAATTAGTACACAGAAATCTGTGGCTTTCCTATACACTAATGATGAACTAATAGAGAAATCAGGAAAACAATTCCATTCACAATGGCATCAAAAAGAATAAAATACCTAGGAATAAACCTAAGCAAGGAAGTGATAGCTACAGGACACTCTTAAGAGAAATTAAAGAAGACACTAACAAATGGAAACTCATCCCATGCTCTTGGCTAGGAAGAATATAGTCAAAATGGCCATCCTGCCCAAAGCAATCTACAGATTCAGTGTAATCCCTATCAAATTACCAACAGCATTCTTCAACGAACTGGAACACATAGTCCAACTTAACCGTTTTAATTTTCCTAAAACTGTGTCATTGCTTGGCTTTTTAGCAGCAAAAGTGGAATTATAATTTGAACTGTGGTAATTGGGGCTTAATTATTAGGATCCATGACCTTTATTGAAAATAACAAATGACCACTGCATTCCATGTTCTTCTTTAGGCAACATCAGCTTTTCTTATTTGAAGTCATAGAAAGCTAGACATTTTCTTAAGCCATTTTATTCCACTCAAGTTATTAAGACAAGTACAAAATAACCTTTTAGTTAGGATATTTTATCAGTCATTAAAAAAGGAGAAAGCACTACAGTATGAAGGTTTACAAATGACTAAAATATACAAGCTGTGTCAGAATGGACAACTTGAAATGGTGTTGCTTTTTTCTTTCAGAAATGTGGTTTTCTTAACAAAAAAGGCTAAGTATAATACAGTGCTTTGAATATGTGTAACCATGAAAACAAAGAAAAGCAGTTTTAACACTACTACTATTAGCATAACAGAATCCATTGCTTCTATTTAACAGCCTTTGCCAACACATGCCTATACTCCCTTTCCTAGCTTCAAGGAACAATTTCCTCTAAGAAATACTAGTGCAACATAACTCTTAAATGATTTCTTCATGCTCTTTCTTCTTTTAGAATGAGTCCCCTTGGCTGGTAGGACAAGGTTTATGTTACAGAATCTTCTCTCCCACCACCATTTCCCTTGTATGATATGTCCCTGGCACCCTCATCCCCACCCAGTTCCCACTCTGCCATTTTGCCTTTCCCACCCTGAAAAGTGCAGTTCATGATGACCTTTATAGAAAACGGTTTTAATGGGGGTCCCTACATACATGCTGTTTAAAAAGTCCCTCCTAAACACGATGAAAATGAATTGGGTACTTGGATTTTTTTGAGTCTTCACTGCATCAAAAGTCTATTGTTCTGAATATTTGTGTTTTGCTCTTCTTTTTTATTTGAATCCCCTGGGCTGTGAAAGAGAGAACATCTCCATTTTCCCAAATAGAGAGTGAGAAGGGGGGAAAGAGAAGCAGCTGCTGGCCACGGTGTAGCTTAGCTTCCCCACTGCTTTCCTGGCCCGGGTTCTCTCATAGGAACTAGTTGTCTTGTTCCCACAACACTGTCACCACTAATGCTCCACGAAGGCTGTGAACCTGGCCACAGGCCACTGCAACCACGGACCAGCTCTGAAACACCAGACGGCTCACAAGCTTCCCCATGAGAAAAATCTTCAGCCCTCAAGGTCACTGAAACTTCTTCCATTAGTGCAGTTTAGAGTAAATGCTTAAAATTTGGCATATGTTAAATGATTATTGGCACAATGTTCTCCATACAGTTCCATGTATAACTACTGATATACACTGGGGCCAGGGCCATGGGTGGATCAGCCGATCTGCACCATTTTTATGTCTGCAATAATCGCATCTCTTCCCTTCGAGCACTGGAGGGAGAGCTGTTTCATCCTGTTCTCCAAGGCCAGGCCCTCGCGGGAGGTGCTGCTCTGGCTCCTGCCACGGCCACCACTGCTGATGCTGAGACCCCGATTGTTGCTGGCTTTGTCACTCATTTTATTCTCTGCCCCTTCTGCCCGGTCTCCTACAGAAACATAAAGATTATTTAGTGAACATGGACAGTCCCAGGAGTCACTGGGGCTATCTGCCAGCTCAGCCCTCTAGAATCCAGGGTTGTCCAACCGCACGTCATAGAGGGCTCTCTACCCTGTGATCACTGACAGCCCTTATTCCTTAGTGCTTTATATATTCCTTATCTTTAGAGATGAAAGTTCTCATCCTCATAACAGCTGGGGATCAGCACCGCCCTAGGACGCACTGGTGGGGGGAACTGTTGCCATGAGACGCAGAGCCCACGCTGTACTTCAGAGCTGCTGGTCAGGAGCAGAGCCAGGGGCACCGGCATAGGAGTTGGAATCTCAGATACCAGCTCTGACTGCACAGGCAAAGATGCAGTCACACACACGGGGGGCTCTGAAACCTGGCAGGGGCCTAGAATGGCACAGATCTGGGTGCAGAGACCAGGAGCCCCCTGGTGAGACCACTTGCACTCACCTCGTTCTACCTCACACTCAGGGGAGGAGGCCCCACTGCATTCACTGCGAGGGCCCAACACTGGGAACATCATCCCAAACTCTGATAGGGACACGGGACTGGGAAGGTCCAGGTTGCCGGGCCTTGGCACTGCAGGGAACTGGCCGGACATCTCGGACGGGCTCGTTGGTCCTGAACTGAAGCTGGACACAGACTGAGTTTCCGAGTCGTCTTCAGACACAAAGTTGTTACAGCTGTCGTCTTCAAAGGCCTCAGAGGCCACTAGGATGAGAGAACACCAGTCACACTGACAGGTAGCAGCCTGGTTGCTTAGATACTCTAGAAGGTCATCTGCTGGTAGGCAGGATGGCATGGGATGCAGAATCCCTACTGCTGTGGGCACCCCATGAAAGCAGTGTGACCATCCCCAGTCTGCATGGCCGGACCAGTGCAGCCAAAGGGAAGCAGCCGGATCCCCTGGACCTTCAATGGCCTCACAGTAGCTCTCAGCCTCTCCTGCCAGGCAGTGCCTCGAGGGGAGATGAATTCGGCCACAGGTCAGGGGCTTCTTCCTCTGTCCTCTGACAGCCCCCACCCCCACCCCACACACATACAGAACGAGTGCTGGCCCTTTCTGAGGCACATGGAACTTAAGAGGTTCCTTCTTCCATAAAAGCAGGAGCTGCCAGAAGAAACAGCCCCGCACGGAGTATCTGCTGGGACCTTTGCTATCTTCCAGGTAGCTTCTCATTGTGTAAAAGGCACACTCAGAGCCTGCCTCGATCACCTCACCACAATGGGACAAAGTCCCCTCGCGGTGCTCTGCACTTGTGCCTCCTTCCCTCAGTGGTGCAGTGACCAGGCCCAGGGCCATGCCGTTCTGGGGGCGGGGAAGCTGCTCCAGCCTTTAGCTATTTTCCTGTCAGCCTGCACACAACCTGCTGCTTCTTCGATCATCATCATCTACTCCCCTTTCTCCTTGCTCATCTTTACCAACAGCCCTGGCAGCCTACCCTAGAGGACTACAACAGATGAGAGGTAGTATCATGTGGGGACAGAAAAGGGGCTCAATTCAGAATTCAAACTCTACCTCTGCTCCTTGATGAGCAGCCCTAGTCAAGTTGCCTAACCTCTCTGTGCTTCATGTTCCTCTCCATACAGGCAGGGATTATGAAATAGCAAGTATTAAAGTACCTGACACATCGCTGATGCTCAAATTACACATTTTTTCCTTTAACCTGGCCTGGCAAACATTTGTTGGGTGAATCAAAGATGTCCTGAGGAAGGATGAGCCGATGGGTTATTCCCCAGGAAAGGCAGAGAAAGCTGGCATGTACAGCAGTGCTGCAGGGGCTGCCGTAACTAACGTGCAGGGGGCATATCAGACTTCCCTACCAGTAACCGGGGGCGGCCTGGGAAGAGGCCTCTGTGGTCAGTGGCCGTGGAAGTCACCCGTGTAGAGTGCTCGCTGGGTGCCAGCATTTCATTTACTTCTAACCACGCCTCTACACAGTAGGTCCTGTCAGACGCCTCTTTTACAGGTGAAGAGGCTGAGACAACTGAAACCTTGCCCACCTCATGTACTAGGGGAAGGTCAGGATTTGAATCAAATCTGATTCCAAAGTAAGTTTCTGTTCTTTGTTCTTCCCAGCAGGACTTCTCAGAGCCTTGAATGTTCTAATAGGTACTTTGGATGTGAGAGGGGGTAGCAGTGTGACATTTTCCAAACTTACTGACCGCAGACTTCTGACTTTGTGGAACACTCAGGAGCATCTAGAGGAACACAGTGGTCCACAAAATGTGGGAAGCCACCAGAGACACCCTCGGGCTTGCCCTTCCGAGACGCTGAGGTGGCCCAGGTAGCGGATGGCACAAGCGGGACCATCTTGCCTGCCCACCAGCCCTGCTCACCAGAAACCGCATCCGGCTCGGCCTTGCTCCCCAGCAGGTCCTCTGCAGCCCCACTGCCCTCGGCGCCAACGCCACAGCCCCGCGGCCCCATGGCGCAGGAGCGCCGCCGCTCGTGGATCTCGTCCGAGATCATCTCCAGGTTCTTCAGGGCCGTCTTGTACTCGCCTTTCGCCAGCGCCAGTCTGGCCTGCAGGTCGTCCACAGTCTTCTTGAGTTGCTGTTCAGGAAGACAGGAGGCGTGGTGAGTGAAGGCTGCCCCTCCTGGCCTTGCAGTGCTTCAGAATGACAGGTTCCCGCATATTTTCCACCCAGCTGCCCCAAAACCATTGCCGAAACATGACTGAGGACCCGACTGCTCTTACCGCAGCTCCACACGCCCGACACAAAAGCCGCCGCGCCAGCCCCAGCTCCGGCACCTGCAAACTGCCCGTGGCAGAAGACGCCCTCCGGCAGGCGGCACTATGGTGCCAAGCTCACACAGAAGTCCACATTCCGGCCATTTGTCCCCACCCAGGGCTGTTTCTCAAACTTGAGCTGGAGGCCTTTTTAAAACCCAGATGGCTGGGCTCCCCCACAACTTGCTATTTGTAGGTTGGGGTGAGGCCCAGGCAGTGCTGTTGGTCCTTGGAGCCACGGGGAACCACTGGCTCAGTGTTACATGGGCCGTGACAGGGCGGCACATTTAGAGGATTTCACAGGCCACTTGAGGCTGACCAAGACCACTCTGAGGCCTGTCTCCCCCCTCCTGCCACAGCGAGCACGCCACACAGACAGGCTGCTTCCACAGACAGTGGGGCTGCAAGTGTGGGGAGGTCCCACCAGTGATGGGTGCAAAGGCCGCACGTACCTCAAGCTGCACATAGTACTTTGCCTTCAGTTCAAAATAAGGCCTGTGGAAGACAAGGAAGGGCCATGAGGGTGGCGCAGTGCCGTGAATGCCACAGCATGCACAGGGGCCAGCAGCCAAGCTGGCCAGGCCACCCTTCCAGGGTTGTGTAAGCTCTGAGGAAGCTCTGAGACGGAGGAGATGTCTGAGCTCCAGGGCCCGACAGAGACGCCAGTTAGCGCTGAGCTCATCCAGGACTGAGCAGGCTGAGCCCATCTCAAGATACGGGGAACCCCCACCCCCACCTCACCCCACCCACCCCGTGTGCAGCTGAATCCTGGGAGCCCCTACCCTGGCTCACTCTCCTCTCTGGGGAGGCCGTTCAAGGCCACACGGGCTGTGTCCAGCAGCAGAGGTGGCCCAGCTTCCCTGGGGAGGTTGGTGCACCAAGGATGCAGAGCAGAGGAGGTGGGGGAGGGGCTGGCTCAGGTTACCTGGGGAAGGGAGCCATGCGACCCCTCACAGAGCACAGTGGGGCCTCCGAAAGAACGGGGCTCAGATGGGTGCTCTTGGACTTTCTAGCCTAGAGGTGTCACATCGCCTGCAGACCCAGTCAGATCATGGGCAAGAGAGAGGACAAGAAATGCCAATAGTCTACTTATTTGGGTTCTAGGTCAGGCTATTTTTTAGAACTTTGGTATCTGAGCATTTAGACCAGTGCTGTATTCTTGAGCCGTTCACCCTCCATGAAGCTCCCAGTCTGTCTCTGGCTGTGGTTTTAGGCCATCTCAAATCTTACCTCTTTTGCTAGGAGGCCCAGCAATTGTGAATGAAGCAGGGGGCTTGTCCCCAAGATTGTTACTGTACACACATATAGTAGTAGTAAGAAGAGCTTGTAAAAAACCTCCATTAAAACCAAATTTGCATAATATCTTCAGCTCTTGGTCCATAGAGAACATGTTTTGTGTATATACAGCTCATCCCTATTATGCTGATAGGTAAACTGAGAGTCAGGACTCATCCACACTGTCCACCACAGAGCCACAGGTACAACCTGAGCATCCCAAAGCCCAGGCCCTGGCCCCAACCAATGAGCCACACAGCAGTTTGCTTCTGCAATTCCTTTCCTGTGTCTCCCAGGCCTGTCATACGTGAAGCCTGGTCCCCTGAGGATCTTCTGCCTTAGAATATTCAGAGCTTGGGGGGCAGAGGGAGCCTGCATAGGAGGCTCTGGTGAAATGGGTCCCTGAGTGCACAGCACATAAAAACTTGAGGGCACATGGAAGACAGTCAGTCATACAGCCCAGGAACCGCATGCCCAGACTTACTTGGACTTGCTGATGGCTCTCTTGAGTTTCTTCTCCAGCTGCCGCATGCGGCCCATGGCTGCATTGTACCTGGCCGCCGTCTCCTTGTGCACCAGCTCGCTCCTCGTCTTCGTCTGCTCCGCCTCCATGACCTGGGAATGACAGCAGACGTCCGCCTGGGCAAGCCCAGAATGGTCCCTTGTTGGCTCATGGCTCATAGCATTTAAAAACTATTCTTTAAGGAAATTAGTGAAATTAGGGCAGACTAAGATTAAACTAAATTCCAAATAGAATAGGATCACTTTTCCCTATTAATGTATTTTGGAAAAGTCTTAGGTAGTAGCCAAATTGACTATGGCAATAAGAAAACAAGGAAAAACAAAACAGAAAAGTATGAAACCAGTCTGATTCAACTGATGTCCACTTCCTTCTGCCAGGTCTCCTGGCTCTAAGCAGCCACCACAGGCTCCTCCTGCTCCTGCCCTGGGCCAGGGGCTTATGGTCAGGCAAATGCCAAATGGCACTGGCAGGAACTTAAGAGACACCAAGGAAGCAGGAGACCCAGCAAAACCAGGCATGGGAGCATCAGGGTAATAAGGCAACCGTCATCCCAGCTGTTTGGCCCTTTCCCAAATATCCTGAATTAGCTGATAGACAAAAAAGAATCCAGGACCCAGAGGACTAAATTTCACATTTAAACAAATTAATATCGAGTCATCCATATTAAGTATCAAGGTTCACAGAAATTCTGGACCAGGGGTCTGGTAAGAAATTCTGGAAGTAACATTTTATCAAGCCTGTTGATAAAAATGAGTTTCAAAACCAACAATCAAGGGCCCTCAATGGCCATAAAAACAAAACAGCTCAAAGGCACATTCCCAGATCTGTGGACAGTGTTGGTTCTTTCGTGCCTCACCAGAGGAAGGGCATCAGAACAAGACCTGCCTTGAAGGAAGATGATGACGGAGATGAACGGCCATTCAGGCTGCAGAAGCAGCTCACATTTGCTTTCTCATCTTCATTTTGAGGTTGGACTGGAGGCTGCACTTAGCTTCCCTGAGGAGCACGAGAGGAGCGTAGTGGGCCCTGGTCACGGTCCCACTCTCTCAGACCCCAGCAAGACCACCAAGCCCTTGACAGGAAGTTGAGGGAGAAGCCCGGGCGGGAGGTGCTGACACCCTATCATCCCCTCCAGGCAAAGGATTGGTTAAGTGTCAGGAAGAATTATGAAAGACTTTGAAATGAGCATAAAAAATTATGGCCTGTCCTAACATCCCTTTCAGGTTCTAGCTTTGGAGCTATTTTGTAGCTCTAAAAGTTGTAGAAAACTAATAGTAAAACAAATAATTTCTATTCTTAGAAATGAAGATTAACTGTGTCCCAGTAGAGGTACATTTATTGATTGCCCTGTAAATATTGACCAGTTTTAAATATATTTGTGAATTTATTTCAGCATTCTTGATTTTCTATATACATTTTTGAAATTCTATTTTTGAAATAATATTAGCTCCCTCGTTCATTAATAAGCTGAATAACATCTTTGAACATTTTATATTCATATTTATCAGTTGGGCTTTTACCTTCTTAAAACTAAGTATCTTTTAATAAAGGCTTCAATGCTTTAGATACCTTTAAACAACAGAATTAAAACAGGGAAGGAAAATATAAGGGAACTGAGCTAAGCTGGCAAGAGGTGACACATTTGCTAAAATGACTTTTTAACCAAGACCAAAAGGCTAGGAGAATCCTTTCCCTTTGTTCTAACACCAAAGATTACACAATGAAACAAAGTGCATAAACATTCTATACTCAGAGAACTAGCAGTAACTCTTCAGTCTTGTATTAAATCTTAAGCTTCAAAGATTTACTCATGTAACCTTTATGAAAACTCAAAATCTCAAGTTTATCAGATAAACAAAGGCAGCATTTTGGGGGAGATCTGTTCCATTACAGAAGGATTCAATACAGGGTTCACTTTTAAGGAACGGTCCAAAAGCATTTTAAATGGACCAATTTCTCTAAGAACTGGTTCTTTGAAAAGATAAACAAAACTGATAAACCTTTAGCTAGACTCATCAAGATGAGGACTCAAAATCAGAAGTGAAACAGAAGTTACAAATGACACCACAGAAACAGATAATTATGAGATTACTATGAAAAATCATATGCCAAATAATTGGACAACCTAGGAGAAACTTAAATTCCTAGACATACGTAATCGTCCAAGACTGAATCAGGTAGAAGACAGAAAACCTGAACAGACCAATTACTAGTAATGAAACCAAAGTGGTAATCAAAAATCTCACAACAAAAATGCAGGACCAGATGGCCTGCTTCATGGGTAAATTCTACCAAACATTTAAAGAGTTAATACCTATCCTCCTCAAAGTATTCCAAAAAATTGAAGACGAAGGTAAGCTTCCAAATTTATTCTATAAGGCCAGCACCATCTTGAAACCAAAATCAAAGACAATACAAAAAAAAGAATATATCAATATCTCTTGATTAACACAGATGCAAAAATCCTCAACAAAATATTAGTGAACTAAATTAAAAAATAATATTAAAAGGATAATTCACCACAACCAAGTGGGATTTATACCAGGGATGCAAGGATGGTTCAATATTTACCTGCAAATTGTCAATGTGATATACCACATTACCAAAAGGAAGAATAAAAACCATATGATTCAATTGATGCTAAAAAAGCATTTGACAAAATTCAGCATTCATTCATATAAAAACTCTCAAAGTGGGTATAAAGGGGACATACCTCAACATAATAAAGGCCATATATGCCAAACTCACAGCTAACATCATAGAATGATGAAAAGGCTGAAAGCTTTCCCTCTAAAATCAGGAACAGGACAAGGAAGCCCACCCCCACCACTTTTATTCAACATGTGCAGGAAAATGAAATTGGATCACTGTCTTACACTATACACAAAAATAAGCTCAAAATAGATTAAAGAACTAAAGTCCTAGCCATAGCAATCAGACAGAAAATAAATAAAAGGCATCCAAACTGGAAAGGAAGAAATAAAATTGTCACTATTTGCAGATGACATCCTACCATATATAGGAAACACTAAATGCACCAAAAAACTTTTAGAATAAATGAATTCAGTAAAGTCACAGATATAAAATCAATATTCAGAAATCTGTTGCATTTCTATATACAAATAATGGAATAACAGAAAGAGAAATTAAGAAGCCCCACTTATAATGGCACCAAGAAGAATAAAAAACCTAGGAATAAATCTAAACAAAGAGGTAAAAGATCTCTATTCTGAAAACTTCAAGACATTGGTGAAGGAAATTGAAGACAATACATATATGCTCATGCATAGGAAGAATTACTATTGTTAAAATGTCCATCCTGCCCAAAGCAGTCTGTATATTCAATGTGATCCCTATCAAAGTACCAATGGCAATTTTCACTGAACTAGAGCAAAGAATCTAAAATTTGTACAGAACCAAAAAAAGACCTCAAATACCCAAAGTGATCATGAGAAAGAACAACAAAGCTGGTGGTATCACACTTGCTGATTTTAAAGTATACTACAAAGCTACAGCAATCAAAACAGTATGGTACCAGAGAACAAGAAAAAATTCACAAATCAATGGAACAGAATAGAGATCCCAGAAATAAACCCAAGTCTATATGGTCAATTAATACATGACAGAGGAGGCAAAAATAATACAATAGGGAAAAGACAGGTTCTTCAATAAATGTTGTTGGGAAAACTAGACAGCTACACACAAGAAAACTAAACTGGATCACTGTCTTATAGCATACACAAAAATAAACTTAAAATGGATTAAAGGTCTAAATGGAAGACCTGAAACCAAAAAACTCCTACAAGAAAACATATGCAGTACCCTCTTGAACATCAGCATTAATTTTTTTCTGGATACATCTCCCCAGGCAAGGGAAACAAAAGAAAAAATAAACAAGTGGGACTACATCAGACTAAAAAGCTTCTGCACAGCAGAGGACACCAATGACAAAACAAAAAGACAACCTATGGTACGGAGAATATACCCACAAATTGAATATCCAATAAGGGGTTAATATCCAAAAAGACAAAAAGAACTCACACAACTCAACACCAAAACAAATATTCTGACTTAAAAATGGGCAGAGGACCTGAATAGACATTTTCCCAAAGAAAACATTCAGATGGCCAAAAGGCACATGACAAGATGCTCCACATCACTTACCATCAGGGAAATGCAAATCAAAACCACAATGAGGTATCACCTCACACCAGTCAGAATGGCTAATATCAGCAAGACAAGAAATGACAAGTGTTAGTATGGGAGAATATATTCATAAATGACAGATCCGATAAAGGGTTGACATCCAAAATATATAAAGAGCTCACACACCTCAACAAACAAAAAGCAAATAATCTAATTAAAAAATGGGCAGAGGAGCTGAGCTGACAGTTCTCTAAAGAAGAAATTCAGATGGCCAACAGACACATGAAAAGATGCTCCACATCACTTGTCATTAAAGAAATGCAAATTAAAACCACAATGAGGTATCACCTCACACCAGTAAGGATGGCCGTCATCGAAAAGACAAACAACAACAAATGTTGGCGAGGTTGTGGAGAAAGGGGAACCCTCCTACACTGCTGGTGGGAATGCAAATTAGTTCAACCATTGTGGAAAGCAGTATGGAGGTTCCTCAAAATGCTCAAAATAGACTTACCATTTGACCCAGGAATTCCACTTCTAGGAATTTACCCTAAGAATGCAGCACTCCAGGTTGAAAAAGACAGATGCACCCCTATGTTTCACCCAGGTTGAAAAAGACAGATGCACTATTTACAATAGCCAAGATATGGAAGCAACCTAAGTGTCCATCAGTAGATAAATGGATAAAGAAGATATGGTATATACACACAATGGAATATCATTCACCCATAAGAAGAAAACAAATCCTATATCATTTGCCACAACATGGATGGAGCTAGAGGGTATTATGCTCAGTGGAATAATCCAGGCGGAGAAAGACAAGTACCAAATGATTTCACTCATATGTGGAGTATAAGAACAAAGGAAAACTGAAGGAACAAAACAGCAGCAGAATCACAGAACCCAAGAATGGACCAACAGTTACCAAAGGGAAAGGGACTGGGGAGGATGGGTGGGAAGGGAGGGATGC